CGCTGCGACTCTAAAATTTTCCCAGCGAACACGTGTGATGGTATCTAGAGTCTCTTAATTAGCTACCTTCTTCTATGTGCATGCAACACGAAAGATGAGAATTTGGCGAAGATTTCGCGTCTCCCTCCTCAGACTCTTCATTACAGCCGTCCATGCTGCTTTGTTTACATGGCATGGCCTGGTGGGAAGGTGACGTGACCCCCTTTCCGTTGCTTTGATTGGTTAATCTGATCTGAATCTGATTAAAAGGCTCGAACGGCGGGGCTATTCATTTTGATGTTTCGGCATAAATACTACCGCAATTATCTATATGTTGCCGCACCTCTCGGTTGCCGAATTTATTGTGGGTATTCTTTTACTGTTTATCTTAATGCACCGTGAAAATTGTTTGGCCACATCACATATTGAAGGAAAGACCTTTTCTAAACGCTTTTATGCATATCAGGTAGGGGACTATTCCCACTTATGAAAGGCCTGAGGCCTTTGGCAGGCGAATGCTGTTACATTGTCAAAGCTCAAGTTCGGAACCAAATATCCACTTTCATGAAGAGTAGAAAGAGATACTGTTACGGCTGGTCCTTGTATGGTAATCAGGTGTATGAACCCCGATTTCCCATAGGCTTTCAGGCACGTCGTGATACCTGTTCGGGTCAAAGGTGTTGTACTCAGGTACATCACATTATCAATATTGTCGTTATGTTCGATTTTGATCAATTCTTTTAAATCGGGTGTGATTTTCAGCCTGACGTACACTGGGTCATCTGTATTTTCTACATGAAAAATGCAGCACTTTTTACCATTTGACGTTACCAACTCAGGACTAACTACCGTCATTATATCTAGGTCACTGGTAATGAGTTTAGCTTGTGAAGTGTCCACTATCGAGTCACCGAGTCCTGTTCCTTGAAAGAAATCGCCAGGAAAGATAAAATGACTAGGAATTGCTAATCCATCGCTCTGGCTGCCAACGACATTGAGAGACGAATTTCCGGCGTTTGGGTCTTTTGCCCCGACCACCGTCTCAATTACGATTTTAGTCATTTCAGCATTAACACGACTTTTCGACGCTGCATTTTTAAGAAGAGATGAAGGAAGAAATTGGTCTAGTACAAATGACAGCGCATCATTTTGTGAGTTGTTGACTGAAACACCCATGTTTGCTGACGCCATTTGCCTCTAGGTTACCTACATCTTTGAACGCGATTGAATTAGAGCGTGAATTGTAGATATGAAGTATTGTTGAGTGAACGTTTTTACCAACACAGAAAATGTTAAACGTAAATATGCTACTTCAAAACGGTCATGAATAGTGACTTTTTTCTAAATACACAAGGGCGTTTTACGGAATAATTTTTAAATGCGCAATGATAGATGGCTTTCATCAACATCAGCCTAAAGGTACATCCAAAAGTAAATTCAGGGATTAATCGAAAATTCTGAAAACCATTTAAAGTTTGATGCATCGTAACGCCCATTAAAACGTTCTCTTGGGGGCCCAAGTTTATGATACTTAGTACTAGTTTTTTTTTTTTTTGTACCATTTGAGATTGACAACTTATAGCCTGGAGCCCCTGGCTATTATGTAATAGAGTCAACTATACAGAGCTTCCCCTCAACGCAACTGTACATGTCCCTAGTATCAACACAAAGCACCTGCCTGATCGAATTAAGATTTCTCACACAAGATATATGCAAGTTAAAATGCTGTGAGTGAAAAAATGTATTCATATTTCATGGATAAAATATGGAGCCCTTAGAACACCATGTACTCATTGATTGGTTTTCCAAGATAAATTAGACTTTTACTGCAAAGCTTGCTACATACTGTGAAATGTTTTTATAAATTATACAATCAAATAATATAAAATGGGGGTAAGATGGAAATAAACATGTATTACATTGTACAGTAAAGCACGAAATAATTCACATAAAACTGATATTAAACTTCTCACAGAAATATCCCCAGTCCAATGGTGAGGTCAGTTTGAATCAATTCTACACTGTAAATGTGAAGAATTAAATAAGATAGGTAATACACAGGGATGGAATAAAAGAATTCGAATAAAAAAGGGAAATCCAAGCCTTTCTACTAAATTATCAACTCTTTTTGAAACTTGATGCAAAATGCAGACTCTCTCATATATATCTTTTCCTCATATAATATGAAAATCCTTCAAAGGTATAGAAACATTTCTATTAGCTTGAGTTTGTATTCCAGACAAAATATTCAAGACAGAGCCTGGATGCTGGCAAACCATTTTGCCTAACGACCTCTAGCACCTTCATATTGCAGTCTAATATTCTATAATTTTTTTTCCATTGGAAACAGTTTTGCAAACAAAGGTGATCCTCCACAAACACAGTCCATTGGCTCTCCAGCACAATAATAACCATTTTTCTCAAAGAATGGTACTGCTTTCTGTGCACTTTCAACTTTAATATCTCTCTGGCGTCTCTTAAGCATATCCCTTTCCATGAATTTCAAAGCCTTTCTGCCATATCCTTGACCTTGAAAATCTCTTTTTATAAATAAGAATGTGATGGAATGAAATCTCTTGCTTACAAACTCTGTATCATCATTATTAAAATCAGATGCTGGTCTGTAACTTCCCACTCCAATAAGTTTTTCTGAAGGAAATGCCATGGGGTTTTGTTCATACAAAAACACAATGATGTTATCTTCTGGTGGATCAAATGTTTCCCCACAAGTATCCCTGGCAACTTGACGGAACAGATGCCGATGTTTGGTATTCCTTGCAGTCTGACGTATAACAAGTTTCTTTTGTGGACCAGTTACTTGATCTGGATCTCTGTATGCCATAGGTATCTACTCGAAGGAAATGAAAAGGCATTTATAGTGTAATGAAATTACAAAGAAACTAATAGCTTACTACGTATTTATGGGGCAGTTCAGAATAGATGATTTGAGTACTAACTGATCTGCCGACTAAATATGGCCGACCCCACTTCAAAAGCGATTCCGCTAATTCCATGGTCTCCCCACCTCCACACGCGCCATCGGGAATCAGCAACATTGCTTCTGAAGTGTGGTTGGCCATATTTAGTCGGCGAATCTGTTAGTACTCGGATCATCTATTCTGAATGGCCCCTATATCTAAATCTCAATAATCTGCTACAGCACATCCAAAAAAAAATAACAATAACTTCCTACTAGAGGATCAGAGAGGCGATACCGCCTCCGGATATTGTACCACCAGCTGGAGTAAGCGCATTGGTATGGACCCCCCCCCCCCACAAAAAAAGAAAGGGACACCACCACCAGTCTTGTGCTTGACAAGCTGTATAAAATGCAATCAACAAGAATTCTCAAAATATGCAAAAAAAAACAAAAAAAAAAAAAACTAAAAATGGTACAATCAAAGTTCATTTCATCGTAAAAAGTAGGTCAAAGTAAATTGCCAGTATATGACTTCCTATTCAAGTTCAACAGTAACTATGGACCTATCTCTGCCAGTTTTGGAGATAAAAGGAAACCAATATTTGCAAAGTTCAATTCATGATGAAAAGTAGGTCAAAGGTCAATTTCAAGGTCACACTTGGATTGCCAGTATATGACTTCCTATTCGAGTTTAATAGTAACTATGGACCTATCTCTGCCAGTTTTGGAGATAAAAGGGAACCAAAATTTGTAAACTTCAATTCATGATAAAAAGTAGGTCAAACGTAAATTTCGAGGTCACACTTAGATTGCCAGTATATGACTTCCTATTCAAATTCAATAGTAACTATGGGCGTATCTTGTCAGTTTTGGAGATAAAAGGGAACCAAAATTTGCAAAGTTCAATTCATGATGAAAAGTAGGTCAAAGGTCAATTTCAAGGTCACACTTAGATTGCCAGTATATGACTTCCTATTCAAGTTCAATAGTAACTATGGACCTATCTCTGCCAGTTTTGGAGATAAAAGGGAAGCAAAATTTGCAAAGTTCAGTTCATGGTGAAAAGTAGGTCAAAGGTCAATTTTAAGGTCACATTTAGATTGCCAGTATATGACTTCCTATTCAACTTCAATAGTAACTATGGACCTATCTCTGCCAGTTTTGGAGATAAAAGGGAAGCAAAATTTGCAAAGTTCAGTTCATGGTGAAAAGTAGGTCAAAGGTCAATTTCAAGGTCAGAGTAAGATTTCAAGTATATGACTTCCTGTTCAACTTCAATAGTAACTATGGACCTATCTCTGCCAGGTTTGGAGATAAAAGGGAACAAAATTTGCAAATGTCAGTTCATGGTTAAAAGTATGTCAAAGGTCAATTTTAAGGTCACAGTAAATTGGCTGTAATGACTTTCTATTCAAATTCAATAGTAACTATGGGCGTATCTCTGCCAGTTTTGAAAAAAAAAAAGCATTAAAAAGTTGCAAAGTTCAGTTTATGCTGTTAAGTAGGTCAAAGGTCAATTTCAAGGTCAGAGTAAGATTTCAAGTATATGACTTCCTGTTCAACTTCAATAGTAACTATGGACCTATCTCTGCCAGGTTTGGAGATAAAAGGGAACAAAATTTGCAAATGTCAGTTCATGGTTAAAAGTATGTCAAAGGTCAATTTTAAGGTCACAGTAAATTGGCTGTAATGACTTTCTATTCAAATTCAATAGTAACTATGGGCGTATCTCTGCCAGTTTTGAAAAAAAAAAGCATTAAAAAGTTGCAAAGTTCAGTTTATGCTGTTAAGTAGGTCAAAAGTCAATTTCAAGGTCAGAGTAAGATTACAAGTATATGACTTCCTGTTCAACTTCAATAGTAACTATGGACCTATCTTTGCCAGTTTTGGAGATAAAAGGGTACAAAAATTTGCAAAGTTCAATTCATGATGAAAAGTAGGTCAAAGGTCAATTTCAAGGTCACACTTACGTTGCCAGTATATGACTTCCTATTCAAATTCAATATTAACTATGGACCTATCTCTGCCAGTTTTGGACATATAAGGGACTAAATGTTATGATTTTGGAGTTACAATAATGTGCCATAAATTTCCTACAGAAAAAATTAATTACAAAAAAGAAAAGGTCATTTTGGTTGAAATTCTTGAAATGGGAGGTGCTCAGAAGTTCAAGATGTTCAAATTTCATGAAATAATGTCATTTTTGACCAGAAATTGTCTGCCTTGCCAAGCCTTATGTTTTATTTTCCCAGGGTTCAAAATTTATTATCCATTACCGTACTGCACATTTTGCTTTCACCACCAATATGTACTTTTTGATACAGCGTAACTCGAAAATCGTATGGAATACAAAAAAACGGAAACCACCTCCAGTGTCTACCTCCATGCTCTACAAAATGCAAAAAAGAATGGGTCTCTAGCATTAACGGTTCCTGAATTAGAGACAGTTTTCAGTTTCGGTATCTTATGGCCGCTACTCCCGTGAAAATGCACCGATTGACCCCAAATTCACGGAGATGAAAGATGACCCGAAGGGTAACACTTTCCAATAATATTATTGGTTAAGTCTGTGTAGTGTCTGAATAACAGCGCAAATATTTTTTTTTGTAAAAAATTTCATTTTTTTGAAAATTTTCGCCCGTTTGACCTTGAAATAAAGGTCAAAGGTCAAATCCAAGGGCATATTTGAAATCTACACATATGACTTTTGGAAAGCCGTCTGTAGAAATTTTCCCCATAATTCCTTCCGAAGGGTAGATAATTAGCATTTAATTTTGCCATTTTTGGACAAGGGTGCATTGCAATGAGTGCCACACCTAGACCCCAATTCCGACAAAGCCCAAATTTTACGTGGAACGAGTTGAGATTATAGGTGACCTAAATCCAAGAGGTAGGTACAGAGGCACATACCGTCTAGGAGGAGAAGCGGTAACGGTGAGATGGCGGCGGAGCCAGAGGAGCCGGCGGAGCCGGCGGAACATGCGGGTCGGGACTAAAACCATGTGTACCGCCAGCGCCTACGCTGGTGGTACAATTATCACCAAAAGCTTAAAACTTATGTCTGTATAAATCTCCATACAGATACGAAGTCTATAACAGTATACTGATTACTCTTTTAAATGTATTTAATGCCTTTGCAGTACTACTAACATGTAGCTGTGCTCATGGGTAATAAGGCAAAATTTATCCCAAATGTCTTACTACTTACTGGAGTTTTTGTAATTCATTTTCCAGTTCCACTTTCTTAGAGACTTTTTCCATCTAAAAGACAAATCAACAGCAGCATTCAGTTTAATCTGAGAATCTCCAACGACTCCAATATCAACATAATATTAATCAATTTATCTCACTAGAAGTACAAGCCTTTTTTATTAAAAAAATAATAATAAATGTATAAAACATAAGATAAAAGATGTTCAGCTTAACATACATAGGTTTCATGAAGCAAAAAAAAAAATAAATAAATAAATAAATAAATGAATATGTGGTATAGTAAAACCTACATGTTGTACCTGAGCTTCATCCAGTTGCATGAAGCAAAAATAAATAAATAAATAAATAAATAAATAAATAAATAAATAGGTGATGAAATAAAACCTACCTGAGCTTCATCCAATTCTTTGCCTTCAGCCTCCAAGTCTGCTATCTATTAGTAAATTTAAAAAATAAGAGGTTGAAAATCAGAAAAAAACTAGAGGATCAGAGAGGCGATANAAAAATCATTGAGTGCATCATCTTACTAATTATTCTTCCACTTTTTTTAAATAGTAAGCATCATCAGTACTGAGTCCACATTCTTGGCATACCTGTCTCAGCTTCTTCTGGATTTTCCTGATGGCCTTCACCCTCTGCACCTCAGCTGTTTCCGTTTCTTCTTTTTCATCTCCATCCTGGGGCACCTGACCTTGACCCACATCATTCTGACCTTGACCCACATCACCCTGACCTTGAACTTGGTCACCTTGACCCACATTCTGTTGCTGTTGTAACTGGCTTATGTTCGGCACCACAAAGGATGGAGAACCTGGCGAAAAACAGACTGAGTATTTACATTAATTCTTATTTAGTACAGTGCAAGTTCTTCCTTTGAAAAACTCGTGCTTGACAAATTTTCCCAGGATGAATGGAATTTTGTTACATGCATGGGGGTGGATGTGTGTTTGACAAATTCTCCTGGGATAAATGGCATATTATCATATGTGGAGGTGGGGAGCGGGGGGTGGGGGGTTTGAGGTGTGAATGTTCCCGTTCTCACCTGGCTGACCAGTGGTCAAAATGCCACGCCCTCTGCCCACCTGGAAAACTGGGGCTCCACCTGGGGGTGTTGAACCTGGAACAGAAAAGTACAGTTCAAATAAAGCTCACTCACGAGCGAAAATATTCACTATAACAAATTTGAATGAACCTACTTTACCTTGAGCAATGTGAACAAAGGAAATATATAATTAAAAAATAAATAAATCAAAATCAGTATACATCACTTTATTATCTAAAGTAAAATAGCATTTTAATTTTTCTGTTTTGAATTAAAATTTCTCCCAGTCTCCCCACCTGGTCGAGTAGGAGACATAGAGGGTGGACTGCCACGAGCTATCCCCCTAGCGATACCTCGCCCGCGAGCTAGGTTGGCAAGCATCTGTGCATTCTCGCTGTGGGACAGGACGCCATTTTGTGCAGAGAACCCTGGGGGCACCATTCCGTTAGCACCAATCTGACCTGTGGAGATAATTTGCATCATTTTACTTTATCAAAAGACCTAAAGTTCACTTATCAATTTGAACAGTACTTAACGATTTCTGGTTTTGCTACAGTTACATTTTTCTCAGGATTATACCCCAACAGCATCTCGGTATACCCAAAACCTTTTTTTGCACATTACATGGTTTAATGTTCGAAGATATGCATTATTTTCTATTCAGAATTTTGACTAATAAACATATTACTGTAGTATATGCAGTATAAATTGTCATGTCATTTTTAGGTAGAAATGTTAAAGGAAATGCCAAAAACAGCAGGCAATACATTCAATATGTGTTGTACATATTGCAGAGCACAATTAACCCTTTTATTATTATTATCGTTATTATTATCATTTTCATTATTATTATTGTCATTATTATTATTATTAATATCATTATTATTATTATACACTCACCATTCCCCAGTCCTCTACCAACTCCTCTCCCTAGGCCAGCCTGACTGAGAGAGTAAGCAAACACACTGGACGGTCCTTGCTGCTTGACCGCTGCCCTGCTCTGCTGGGCCATCTGCAGGGTCTGTGCGGCCTGTTTGGGCAGCCGGAGCTGCCCACTGGGACTGTCCTCACGTGGCTGGGACTCTGGTTGGGATCCAGGCTTCTCTTCATTCTCTTCTTCATCCGAGGCATCTGGTGGACTACAGGGTAGAGTTTTAAAGTTGAAACCTACTGCCGACATTTTATTCTTCGGCCGAATTCAGAACAAGTTGATATGTGAACTAACATATCTGCGGCTGAAATATGGCCTACCCACTTGAAAACTTGATGCCTAATCCTCTAAGGGTGCTTTCCCAGAGATTTTAGATCGATCTATCCCCACGGGGAGTCTCACTAGATTACCTTCAGATAATCCGGCTTAAATGTTCGCCCCGCCTACTACAAGCTGTAAGAGGGTAATTAACTTTCGTGTCCGCTCGGCTGACAGCTATTTAGCGTGAACCCCCAGGGAGTTAGGTCGATCTAAAGTAGATCGATCTAATCTCTGGAAATGGGGTCTAATAGACACTGAATAGATTCCCAGTGGGCATTAGGCAGAAAGCTTTCAACTGGGTTGACCAAATTAGATTCAGATCTGTTAGTCAACTTCTCAACAGCTCAACTTCTGTTGTGAATGCACCTTTACTAATACCTTCACCCTAGCAACCACCCTGCCATAGATACTTCCACGAATGGGCAATGGAAGACAGGTGTGTGGGGTTAACACTTGAAGGGAAAAAATTGCAATAAACAAGTCCTGCATTCAGACATGCAATTCACTTCAATGCATATAAATATATACAATCCCTGTTTCAAATCTTGGGTAGATACAATATTTTCACTAAATATTTAAATTTATTTCACCTACATGTATCAACTTCAGAAAATTAATATAAACAGGCATGCACACAGCCATTCCTCAAAAATCAATTGCACACTACATTAGTAGTAGTGTAATAAAACATCATTTAAATATTCCAACCTTATATCTGACACTGGTGATTTTATCACAAAGCCCAGGAAGGTGCTTTCAAACAATATTCAGTCAGTTAATGCTAACTTACAGCCCCTGTTGTATTCTTTGTGCTCTTCTCTGAAGTCTGTTCTTGTGTCTCTTCTTCTCTGCAGGAGTCATTCTGATAGGAAACAAAATGAAGACAATCCTCTGTCACTTACGTTTTTATAAAGTTATTTTAAATTTATATTTTATACTTATCTAATAATGAGAGAGAGAGAGAGAGAGAGAGAGAGAGAGAGAGAGAGAGAGAAAAAGATAGGTACTATTAAACAACGATAATCAAAACTGGACAGACACTGCACTAGTCAGACGACACAGAGACAGACAGTGAACAAAATACAGACAGTCGGACTAAGACATTACGAATGTCATAAGTATGTCATTACGGTTTTATTCAACTCAGAGTGTCAATTTCTCTGCAGATGCTATTTAGTGCTCACCCCACCAAGTCCTTGATATAAGTTCTAGTGGGGTTGTTCAGCTCCTTAGGGTCCACGCCTATTCTAGGTATCCCAGGAGTCTCTGCATCCCAGTCTTCCGTAGGCTCGGGTCGGTCCCACTCTGGGAAATATGTGGGTACGGAGGTGTTTCCTTTGAAATATGCACCCTCGTCTTCTTCTTTTTCCATGGCTGTAATTCAAGTGTAGGTTATATTCTACTCTCAAGCCTCCCTTACTAAAAATATCTTCTCCATCTTTTTACATTTTTTTCAATCTAAATTTTTTGTGTGTGTGTGTGCGCACTCATCTTCACACTGACATGGTAATTCTGACCTTATCATTTGTTGATCATGTTCTTCTGAGAAAGACACAGTAGTTGTTATTAATTCTTGAAATGTTGGATCAAATTTCATAAAGTTCATACAAAACTGAAAAACAAAATTGGACACAATTCCAAAAATAGTACTAGTGTCAATCCCAAGATTACCATTCTTCACATCCTGCTGTAGCATGGCTTTATCTGGACAGCGTGAAATGTGATACCTCAGCTCTGGTCCCGGCACAACATGTCTGGCATTGAAAGGACACGTCTTCATGTCTTTTCCAGCATAGTTCTGTAAGACAAGGACTACAAGATTGTCTAAAACTTCTTGCTCAATAACTCTCCCCTCTCTCTAAAATTAGTTTCAAGTCACTCACCCAGTGTTATTACATGAATCTCATCTTTCAAGCACAACTGTATATACAAAACACATTGTCTGATCCAAGCGTCCAAGCAGGGCAGGGGGAGGGGGGGTGGAATGGGGGGAGGTGGATGGGGAAAAGAGGCAAAATTGTGATACCTTTACCCCCACCCCCAAAGCCCTTGAATCTACATCTGACATTACTGTCCTTCTGCCATTAAATGGTTTCGATCTCCACACGTGCAATGAATGCTCCATAATATCCAGAGAGAGAGAAAAGGGACCTTAATGCTCATGCACTGACCTTGCGACATTTCATCAGGTGATAGGGGAACCTCTTGGCCCGTATCATGTGGACGGGGTCGTAAGGACACTCCATGAGGTCGCTCTCATCAGGAACATCGTATTGTGCCATTGCTATGTCTCACTCTGGAAAAACAAAAAACAAACAAACAAACACAATCATACCAACAAAATATTGAGCGTTTATTTTTCTCAAATTTCTTCTATCATAGCTACTGGTACATACGTGTTTTGATGAAAATACCCATTGTTAACCAAAGATTTGTTATCACACATTTGAAAAATCAAATGTAAAATGCATAGTCTATTAGTAAACAGTAAACAGGTGGACTAACCTACCAATTTAAAGTAACTCCCAAGTTATTACTGTGAGGTTTGTCTCCACTCACACAGATCAGTTATCGAACTGGAGTCTTAATCATTAATGTGACTTCAAGCGTTTAAATCTAAAATGAAAATAGACGTACATGTAAGTCACTAAGTGGTGAGAGGGAGAGAGATAGACAGAGAGAGACTGTCACCAAAAAGTGAAGAACCAAACAAAAATCAAAATCAAAATAAGATTTACAAGTGTCAAAATATATGCAAACAATTACGTCCAAAATACTGTCACTACATTTCAGCGTGCGATGTAGCATTACCCAAGGCCGAATTTTGGATTGGCGGCCTTAAAGTTTTTCATGCTAATTACAAAACTGGGAACATATGTGACGTACCAACTTTTAAAATCCAGCTCTCCTGTCATGCGTTCTCGTTCACACAGTCGTAACATGTGACTACTAGGTGGCGCTGTTGGAAAACGGAGTAAAGACAAATTACGAGAAAAAAATAAAATAATACCGTCATGCAACAAAGTAAAATATTTCTCATTTTTATAAAACCCGTTTGCATGTGTCAACAAAAATGATTTGTGTGGTAGATAATAAAGTAAAATTAGACATAAGATTAGCATCTTTTAACTTTGCAGCATGTCTTGAAAAGCGCCCTCTATAGTTTATCAGTTCTATTGAAAGGCGCGTCAAGGTGGTATATTACAAAAATGCCGCAAGTTTTCCACGTACTGCAGTGCTTTTCCTGCCGGATGTTTCAAGTTCACCAAGTGAAGAAAATCAATAAGTGGGCGTGCAAATTATGTGGTCAAAAGCAATCAGTTATTAAGGTACTTGTAAGCAGGATAAACTGCAAACGTCTGACCTACTAGTACATCTCTTTCTTGAAAAAAAATCAACATATACTTGTTTTCTAGTTAAGCTAGATACTTGAAAATTAAAACACAGATACTTATAATTATGAGTATAAATAAACCTTTCAAAGTTTTAATCTATCTCAGTTAGATCAAAAGTTATTCAAGTCTCAGTCACACCATGTTAATTAGTCTTTTTTCAGACGCCACTTTCAAAAATGATCAGTCAAAAACTGCCCCATTTAATTTTCACCCTCAAAATTATGTCATAAGAACTTAGAATTTGTCACTTAATGTGTAAAAGAGCTAGGAGTGAATACTCAATTTGGAATTTGAATTTCATTTCTTTTTTGCCCCCCCCCCCCCCCAACCCCAATTGTATTTCATGAACTCATTTTGTACTCACCACACACACATTTCATGTTCTTATCCCAGGTGTTTGGGGAAGGATCGGGAGCTGACTGCAGGAAACATGTCCAAAAGTTAAACATGGTGAGAAGCCAGGTGGACACTGCTGACCAAGAGAACTGGACGTCAGCTGCAAAGATCACCAGTGATGAAGTTGACTGGAATGAAAATATTTCAACAGTGTCTGAGGTATGAAAAGTAAAAATTTGGTTTCAGAGTTACATTATAATTTTTTTCATAATGATTGCAATATTCATATAGATCGAAGAATAACTGTAAATAAATAATAGGATAAATGTAAGGATTGGTGATAGTATCTTCATTTTATTTTATTATTTTGAAAGAAGATTTTGGAACCTTATTGCTGGTTTTTGTAAAAAAAAAAAAAGGACTGGTTATTTTTGTATGATTATTATCAGTCAAGTTTTTGCCTGTGAGTGCAGTTTCTGTCTCCAACCCTCATTATGACCAACAATTAGCTTGTGTGTGTATATGTCTTTCTGTCTGTTTGTCCTACACTGAGGCTCATAGTTTTAACTTAAATTTTCTTCTCATTTCAGTACCTACAAGTCGGTTCATCAGCTGGTGTAGCAGAGAGCAAGTGGGGGAAATATGTGACTGAGGAAGACCAGGAAGTTCAACCAGGAAGCGACATGGAGGAGGAGGATGTCACTGTTTACACCACAAGTGTGCAGAAGTTCAAACAGACAGCTAGAGGACATTATGATAGAAAGCAGAGGGGGAGGAAGTGAGTTTTTTTTGTTGATATTTGTCTGCAAACATTAAAATTATTCACTTCATTTAACTATCCTCTTTGTGCCGATGTGGCACACGAGGCATCCAACAGATTTGCAAGAAGAGACTTCAATAAATAATAATAGAAAATTTATTGTGCTATATTTGCAAATGGGTCCATAGACAGGACAGGAGTGGGATGCAAAATGAGCACCCTCTTGGCTAGAAAATGTTTGCCCTGGATCAAAATTTGATCGGAGTTCTATGCCATTTTCAAGTTGGTTCAACTAAGAGGATTACACCCAGAAAAAACATCTACTTTTTCTGGAAAAGAAACTGGCTGCATCCCCTTTCAAATTGCTGACTACAGCCCTGTCTGTTGTTTCTCAAATTTTATATTTCTTTCTATTTCTTCAGATACAAGGATACCAGACATCACCCCTATCAGAGTAACAAAAGAGGGCTCCAGTATACAGATACAGGGGAGTCATATTCAAGACAAGACCCATTCTACCCCAGCGAATTGATAGACACACAGCCCAGTACAGCTAACAGGAGTGGTATAATTTCAGAAAGAGGCAGTGAATCTTATACAGCTGAGAATAGTAGACATTTAAATATGCAAGACCATATGAATGGCACACTGAATCCTGACCACAATGGTCGAATGTCCAGTTGGGCTAGGTTTCCAAAACCTTCTTCTCCTCTTATGTGTACAAGTAAGTCAACCAATGTTGTGTCCAGTGAGAGTGGACTTAGTGGCACAGGGACCAGAGCTGGACAGTCAAAGTGGACACAATTCATTGACCAAGACGTGGCCAGAGATGAAGGCAGTTCTGGTGATGGTTATAGTGAAGTTCAAAATGATGAGGGGTATGGTGAAGATACTTGTAATGTTGATTATAAAGAAAATATTTCAGGAATTGATATCCACGGTTTTGGACATTTTGTAGATAACAGCAGGAGTAATAAAAGCCAGCCATCTTTACATACAAGAATAGCCTCTGATAAAATGTATTATCAGAACGAGCAGTCACAAAATGGTGATGCAGTCTGTAGACAGACATTTGGGAAAGAAGTACATTCTGAGTCAATTTTTGATAAAAGGACAGATAAAAAAAGGATTGCCTCGTCAGCTGATGTAGACACAACTATACTAAAGGATGATGTCATTTTTAGTAGATTAAATGTAGCTTCTGAGAAATCACATTTAATTCCTTTAATAAGAACACCTCAAACTGTAGGTGGCAGCACCTGCACTGTTATGTCAACTGTAGGAGGCAGCACCTGTACTGTTATGTCAAAGTCTATGTGTACAAGTAAGGAGCAATCAAAATGGACGTCTGTCAGTGATGTATACTGTGGTGAGATAAAAGATGTGAAATCACCATATAGTAATATATTTCTTATAGATGATAATGAAGACGATCTGGATAATTTATTGCAGATATGATTTTTTTTAATAACTGCCAAGTAGTTGAAGAAAATAAATTTTCATATTGCTATGTAACGAAGGGTTAATCTTATCTTAGCTTGTCCAAGTTATTTCTCTTAAAATAATTGATAAAATATATAAGAAATAAAAGAAAGAACTTTGGAGTGTGTTTAAATCAAACCTTAACTGTTGCAAGCTTCTAAGACTTAAACAAAAATATAACAGACTGTTCAACAGCATAACCAATATATTGTCTAGTGTTTTTTTTTAATTATTTTTTGTATATACGTGTTTTATTTGGGGAACAACACGCATGACGTTATAGAGATTGATATCACATAAATATCTTCGTAGTATCGGGAAATGAATAAGTTCAAAATATCGGGAAATGAATAAACGATGAACATAGAGAACATTTAGTACTGTGTAATTTTGCATCGATGGCTCATTTATAAGGCAAGCACAAGATAAGGAACTTCAGTAAGTTATTCGTCGGTTCCGTAGTGTAGCGGTCATCACGTCTGCTTTACACGCAGAAGGTCCTGGGTTCGATCCCCAGCGGAACCAAATTCGTTTTCTTTTTACAATGTTTGTGTTAGTAATACCACAACATTCCTGATGAGGAATCCCTCTCGGGTTTCTGTTTGTAATTGAAAAAAAGGGACCACGCGCCAACCGATGACATTAATATGTGAAAAGACCTGTGTAGAACGGTATCATGTTTTAAAAACGCATAGAAGCCCTTCGTTTCTTATGCTACAGAGCATTATCAATCTTTAAGTAAAGTTTTAATTTGCCCACAGACTTATTAAAACTAACAAATATAACTTGAAGTGTTTGGATGACGACTCCTGCTGCATAATTAAGTAGTTATTTTATTCCAACTTGAAGAAATTAAGATCTTCAGAGACAGAGAGTAAAATAAGTTCAACGTACATCATGGCCAGTTAACAGAACAAATTTAAATGTACGCGCGTTCACATGTTGCACCACAATGTAAAGGTTTATGGGAATATGTGACTTATTTGGTTTGAAAGTATACGTAACGAGGTTGATGTATCATAAAGGCTTGTGTTGCTGGTATATGATAAGTGTCATTCACTTCCTTAAATATAGGGGAGACCGGGGCTAGTTGGACCCCGGGGTAAGTTGGCCCCCCGTCAATTTATGAAAAAGTAACTACGAGGTAAAAAAATTGGCTACATACTCTTGCAAAGTGACCGTAGCCTACAATGCTAAGGAAGTGTCGGACGTTAAAAAGTTTTACTTACGCGGTGAGTCTAAATAAACGATTTTTGCACCTAAAAGTAATTTTGTTTAAGAGATTTAAAAATCTATTATCATAGGCTTTTGATCAAATATAAGATATGTATAGGGCATCAAACTGAAGCTCATTGTTTCAAGTTTCACAGAGATGTATCATCGTTGCTCATTCTAGCACCATAAATGGCTACCATCCTTTAAAATAAATAATGTGCACCCGGGGCTAGTTGGCCCCCTTGACTCGGGC